AGCTATAGAGGCTCGGAATAAAGATTTTAAAAAGTATCGAGAGCATTTTACACGCAAGTGTGACCGTATCAAATGTAATGAAGATTTATTTAAGCGATCATTTTGTTCTAGTGATCCAGTCATTTCACTGGTGCTCATACAAAATTTAGTGTATATAGCACACATAACAAATCTGCAACTACAAAAATTAGGTCGTTGCTATGCAAAATTTCGGTATCCGTAGCAACCAAATAAAAAATAACATCTTAATAAGAGGCGCAGACCTTACACTGGTGCTCATGCCAAATTTAGTGTATATAGCACACATAATAAATCTGCAACTACAAAAATTAGATTGTTGCTATGCAAAAAAATAGGTATCCATAGCAACTAAATAAAAAATAACACTTTCACAAGAAGCTCTTGATACTCATGCTAAATATAGTGAATGTAGCACTAATATTAAATTAGTTATTAATTTTGTCTCAAAATTAGCCATTCTGGCCAACTGTGCTATGGTTACTTATTTTTGCCATGCAAAACTAAGTTTTGCTATGCAAAAACAATAGTAGTAAATCATAGTAGCCATAGTAGTGAACCATAGGTGATATACCGCCTAATTTTGCTCTGCAAAATTAAGTAACCATAGTAAACAAATATAATTTTTTTTTTTTAATAAGAAGCACAACAAAACAACAAAAAGTTTGAACCCTAAGAGATTATTGTGTGAGTTTTAAACTTTATCTTTGAGTATAAACTTGGTTGAGAATAGAAGAAAGAATATTTTATCAACTTGTTGCTCTCACCTTGGGGCAGGTGTAGCTAAAATTTTAGGACTTTTTGTTCCAATCATTGCAATTTTTTGCAAAGCATCTTCATTTGATATAAGTATAAATATGATATTGATATTGACCTATTGATATATATATATATATATATATATATATATATATATATATATATATATATATATATATATATATATATATATATATATATATATATATATATATATATATATATATGTATATATATATATATATATTTCGTCAATGAACAATTAATTTTACAATGCACTTATGAAAATGAAATATATTCTTCAAATTTTGACAGGAGCAAGCAGAAGAAAATACATCTTATCATTTTGATCCTTTGGTAGCGAAATAGTTTACTTTGTCTTTGTTCAGGATCAAGTTCACAGACGTAGACCCCGACAAGAAATTGAATAGTCCGATTTTTTAAGTGTTGCTGACGGAATATAAAAATTGTTAATGGAATGTCTTATTAAATATCTGTGATTAATTAAAAAGAAATGTCTGAAAGTGGTAAGTATTGATGGAAGTATTTTATTGATAAGTTTTAACGTAAAGAATAAATTTTGATAAATATTTAGTTCGTATACACAGTGGCGTCGCTGGGGTTAGTGTCACCCAGTGTGGTAAACTTTTGGTGCCACCCCTCTTAGACTTTTATTATCAGAGCCGACGAAATGGATTTTGAATTTCTGAAAAAAAAAAGGTTCTTTAGAAAAATTATTAGGGTATGCAAAATACAATCTTTTGATCTTGATTAAATAATAATTTTGTTTGAAATAAAGAAAAACAGTTGGGGACCTTTTGTTGGAAAAAATTTAATTCATACTTTAATTAAAAACAAAACCGTTTTAAACTGAACTTTATTAAGTTTTAAGGCTTATTCAAAACGGCATTTACATGGACTTCAATATTTTAAATTTATAAAATATATTTTTTTAAAACAATTTAAAAGGTTTTGAATAAAATAAATCATTTAAGATTATTACATTTTTTTTACTAATTGTTTTTCTTTTTGCTCTATGTTTTTGTTGATATTTATTAAACAACCCTGAATACTTATTTATATTGCATTATTATTATTAAAACTTAACGCAAATTTTTGTGATTTTTGTGATTATAACTGGGCAATAAATACTAATTTATAATTCATGTGACATGATTAAAAACTAAGTGTGACAAAATCTCGACACATAGCATGGTTGAGAAAAGTTAAATTAAGATTGTTAACTGTTAAGCAACATACTTAAATAAAAATTTGGATGTTGCATAAAAGGTAAAAAAAAAAAAAAAGGTAATTAAAATATGTTTTTTTGAATTATTTTATTTACATATGTTTTGAGATTTGTTGCTATAATTGGATTTCTTTTTTAGTAGAAAATAGTATTAAATGCAAAAAGACAAACTAGTAAAAATATGTTGGAAAATCTAAAATCAAATGCTATCCTTAAACAACTTCAAGGATAATAAAAAACAAAAACAATGGACAGAATCAAATATGAAACTGGCAATACATGCAGTTTTAGGTGGTGAAAAGTAAGTGCAACATATAAAGTTCCACGATCGACTCTACACACCATGATCTTCAGGGTCGCCAAAAGCCGTCACGCCACATGGGACAGCAACCCTGATTGGCTCCCTTATTTGTCAAATTCTTCCTATATTATAGATAAAGGACCTTTTTTTTTTAGGTACCTTCTTTTTATTTGGCGCCCTCAAACTGTCTCTTTCGCCTACTTTTTATCAAACTGTCTTTTTTCGCCTATTTTCACCTATTTCAGATTTTCCATAAATCATCAGTGCCGCCTCCCCCCCCCCCCCTCCACTCTCGGCGGCACTGATGATCTATGGAAAATCTGAAATAGGAGCAAAACCAGGGAAAAAGCTAATTCTAGGTGATCTTGAAAATAAACTTATTGATTATGCTGGCAATTGTGTCCAAATGGGAAGTAATTTTGGCAACAAAACATTTATTGATTATGCTGCTAAGTTGGCAAGTTGGCAAAAAAACAAAAAATAAATTTTGAAAATGGTGAACCTAATGAATAGTGGTGGCAAATAGTTAAAAAGAGACATGGTTGAGTGAGTCTTCTTTGTCAAGAACCTAAGCTTCTGTGCCACATAAATGTATGGATAGGACAAAAATTTCAAAATATTTTACAATTTTGGAAAGACTAATGCAAAATAAGAACTTATTCGACATACATAATATTTTTGGAACCAAATTGAATTTGTAGAACTTCCTGCTCACACCAGCAACTGATTGCAGTCTTGTGACATAACAGTGTTTAAGCCATTGAATTCTGATGTCTGTCAAACAATGATGAATGACTACACGATTTCACATTCTAACTTTTGCGGTTTATTTTTAAAAGCATGGAAATGTGCCATAACTCATTCAATTATATACTCAGGATATTGTGTTTGTGTAATTTATCCTTTCAATTCTGATGCTATTCCAAATGAGGCATACCTCCCAAATATATGTTATATTTTAATTTCAGATATTGCGCCGGTTCAAAATGTATGTGTGAGGCCATTGATAAACAATCTTTTATCATTGCCTGATCAATCAAAGTACAACTATGCAAGAAGCCTTCCAATAGTAGAAATTTTTTTTTTTTTTTTTTTTTTTTTTAGTTGATTAAGGTGCCCCAAGAAGTCCTTACGGTCTTATCACAGAGCACCGCGGAAGAGCATTTAATAGGAAATTCACGCCTCCTTCCCAACCGATGTCGCAAAACTCGCCCAGAGGTGGGGTTTGAACCACGGATCTAACGTTTCTGAGGCAAGTGCGAACGTTTCTGAGGCAAGTGCAAATTGACAAGGTTCTAACTCTATAAGAAGATTAACAAATAAAACTTTTTTATTTTTTTTTTCAATGTCTAAATAAAAATATTTGTATGATTATTTTTTATTCATTTATGCATTTTTATACTTCAATCAAAAAAAGAATACATTAACAAATAAAAAAATAATAATATAAAGAACTTTAATTAAACATTAAAAAAAATTAAAAGATTTTTTTAAAATTTCTTCTTATATAAAAATTTCAGTTAAAACCTTGTCAAACCAACGCGTTGATTAGTTAAAAAAATTTCTTTTGGTATTTCTCAATTCTTCATAGAGTTCAGATTGCAAAGTTTTTTGTTCTCACATCAAAGGAAGCTTACAACGTGAAACTTGAAGACAGAGCTGCAAAAGTAGCTCATGAAAAAACAAAAGAATTTAAAAAGTAAAAAATGGAAAATTGCAATAAAAAGAAGTTTGCTTAGACATCAAATACGCAATAAAAAAGTTTTTTTACTTTTTATTGAGGTTTATTTACTGTATTTAGCATATAATGAATTAATATGACGAAATTATCTTGATTTTATGCTGTCTTTGTTTTTTTAGTTTTACTTTATTTTCTGAATAATTGCATAATAATATAGAAATTTACAGTGCTCTATTAACCTGTTCAATGTGTTTCCCACTTTTGACCAATGGCCAATAAATGTTTAAGATTTTGGTAAAATTGTTTATCTTTATTATTTGCATTATATACAGTTTGGTGCTACAATAATTAGAATAATCTTTTATGCATCAGTTGCTGTCTTAAGCATTAAGTCTTAACTTCCAAACACTAAAAGGTTATTTAATAAAATTAAAAGCTTTTTGATAAATTTAAATTTATTGTAAAAGAAGAATTTTTTTTATGATTATCCCTTCGTTTTCACATATGGGGTAGATTCAGCTAACATTTTTGGAATTTTTGTTCCCATGCTCTGATTTGCGATTGTTTGCCACTGCGATTTTTTGCGAGACATTCTCCTTTGACAGAAATTGTAAATGTAAAGTTAGCACATAGCCTGAAAGTACTATATCTAGAATATGAAAAAAAAAAAATTTCTTCCCAAAAACCTATAAACTGCTAATCAGAAGGGTCAAATTCATTTTTTAACTAAAAATTAAATCCTTGACCTCAAAAACCCTTAATTTTCTGAGGGATAGTGGAGCTCTTGCCTCAGAAAAAGGAAATATTTTTTTATTTTCAGATTCGGAATCTCCATAAAATAATATATACTATTCTAATGCTGTAAATAACAGATAAAAAAAAACTGCGAATAAAAGAATGTCACCATTCGGCGCCGTGAACTTTGATTGTAAATGGTAGTCGGAGTAACGATAGTTTCTTTTGCTTCATCGGCGACCTAAAGAAGGATCGTGAAGTAGGAACCTTGTTTTATCTGAAATTATCTAGCCAATTGCGAGGGCTCGCGTTACTTTTATGAAGTTTATGAATTCCTTTTTGTCCATGGTTTAAAATATTTTTTATTTGTTAAACAATCTGACAAAAACTTGAAAGTTAAAGTAGGGAAATAATGTACTATAAAGTTTGTTCCCCTTTACTAAGATCTAGGCCGGATTTTTTTCGGTTATTGTTATAAAGGTACATTGCATATCAAATTGGCCTCAAATCTAGCAATATCTAATGTTTCAAAACTTCACGTTTTGATATTCTATAACTAAAATAATTTTACTTTAGGATGATTATTCCTAAAAAGAATCGACATGCCATATACGAGGCTTTATTCAAGGATGGAGTTCTGGTTGCCATTAAAGATTTTAATTCACCAAAACATTGTGAACTAGAAAAGATAAGAAACTTAGAAGTTATTAAAGCCATGCAGGTACATCAATTTTGTTATATGCGTACATACATATTTGTGTATATATTATGTTTAAAAATTTGTGTGTGTGTCTATATATATATATATATTTATATACAAATATATATATATATATATATATATATATATATATATATATATATATATATATACATTTGTATATATTTATAAATATTTATAAATATGTATTTATATATGTACACATATATATAAATGTGATATATAAATAAATATACAATTATATATATAAATAAATATACATTATATATATATATATATATATATATATATATATATATATATATATATATATATATATATATATATATATATATATATAAACACACACACACATGTAGACACATATTTAAGTTGAATTTTTAATTTAAATGTTTAACTAAATAAATATGTTCAAATTAAATTGGGAAATTTACATTCTTTATGTCAGTGTTTAAATTAAGTCCTATAAATTCACAAATATAGATTTAAAGTTGCCATTGTCCATAGGAAAACACAGTGAAGATAAGTTTAGTGCAATGCTCTCCTGCAAAAAAAACAGGAAATAGCAACCTTGTTTAGGTAGATAGATATAAAACTAGCTCTCATTATATATGATATAATAGATATAAATCTAGCTCTCATAATATATGCATGCGAGTCATACTATAATACTTTTATGTTATTTTTCAAATCAAAATTAATTACTTGAATCAAATCTCAATTCAAATCAATAAAAAAAATCTTAATTTAAATTTTCTTCAGTAATCCTACAGTTACGCGGCCTAAAATGATTTTATTTTTTTGCTTGTCAGTAGAGGCTCTACAAACAATAGGACTATAATTGAAATAATAAAGTGAAAAAAGGTTGCTGCCCCATGACAAACCCTCATTTGATATAGCAGCAGGCTATAAGATAGTCGATGTAGCAGCACTCTGTTGCGATTCATGCTATAAGATAGTCAATGTAGCAAAACCCCCTGGCGCAACAAGCGCAAAATTTTTTTTAGGCCGCATAACTGTAGCTTTACTTTTACTTCTAAACTATATATTACAAAATAGAAATGTCATTTTAGCTAGCTTTTTTGCATTTGTTTTCAGTTATTTTTAAATTTTTGCTAGTATTTTATTTGTAATAATTATTATTTTAGTTTTATTAGTTTCATTCATATTATTGCACAACATGTTTTTTATTATATTTACTGCCAATTTAATAGTGTTTATTCAAATAATGGCAACATAGATTATTCAAGGTTTTTTTTTCATATTTCCTATAAAAATTGTTATATTATAATTTCTAAACTAATCAGTAATATTTTGATGAGCTTTTTTTAATTTCACAATTTTGTATCATGTTTATACTGTGTTAAATATATGCAATATGTTTAAAGAATATCAGTGATAATCCTGTATAGGTGCTTACCTTTAACTTACCTATTATCAATAAAAAAGGTTTTGATTTGAAGTAAAGTAATTTGATATAAAATGTTTTTTTTTTTTTTTTTTTTTGCTCTATTAACTTAATTAAAATTTTAAATCTCAATCCATTAAACGTCAGTAGCTTGAATTTTTCTGTCAAGTTTACATTTGCACTAGTGGTATAATAAATATTTTTTGATTTCTCCAAAATGTATTTATTTTGAGTATTCAAAAAATTACAATTGATTATTTTGAGAATTTAATGCATCTATTCGTAACCTTCAGTTTTTCTTAGTAGACTGTTGGCTCCATTAAGTTGCTATATCAAGTATATTAAATCCTCGACAATAGCTTTGTTTATAAGCTTTATGTCACTTACTTTGATAGAACATTCGTTACTTTTAATTTTTTTTTATTCAAGCTACATCGCTCAAAGAATATGGAGGGGGTGGTCACAACAATTTAGTTTTTTTTTTTTAATAATATTTGTAACTCCTTATGTTTAGTCAGACAAGTTGAGTGTGGGTTTGAAACCTGAACTTCTTAATTGTTAACCATTTTGTTCTACTAGTCTGTTACTGCATGTATGAATAACAAGTGATTAAATTGATTTAACTGATCATAGATTTTAATTTAGTTTATTCTATATAAGGTAAATTGATAGGTTGATGTTTTTTTTTAAATGAAATTAAAGATAAATCTTTAATTTCATTAAAAAAAAAACATTAAGAAAAATAAAACTAGTTATACTATTTAAACATAATTTTTTTTTTTTTTTTTTTTTTGTGAGTTGTACTTAGGGGTTGTCTATAAATTAAGGGGGTAGGCGATTTTGTTATAATATTTTGATTTTTTTTTTTCAAATCTAGAGAAGACTTTCTTTTAATTAAAAGAGTATCTGACCAAACCAAACCCTCAGTTCATGTATCTACATGTTGATTGTAAAATCAACTGCACCTAAATCTTACTTAGTCCATGTGAGCACTCTGTTAATGGACAGTTGTCGCCTATGGCTGTAACAGCCTATGTGCATGTATGTTCTGCTCTTTGACTTTATATGGTCTAAGTGCAGTTTGTGCACCAACTTAAAAAAAAATTAAAAATTTAGACAGGCCAACCCCGAACCCATAGTTTACTGAATGAGAAATTTATAAATATTTCTGCATGTATATATTGGAAAAATAGCTATTTAAAATTGCGTGACATAATTTATGGACAACCCCTTATCCATGTTGTATTATGTAGCTTTATAATCCATTACACGTCAGTAACTTGAGTTTTTTTGTCAAGTTTACATTTGCACTAGTGGTATAATAAATATTTTTTGATTTCTCCAAAATGTATTTATTTTGAGTATTCAAAAAATTACAATTGATTATTTTGAGAATTTAATGCATCTATTCGTAACCTTCAGTTTTTTTTTGTAGACTGTTGGCTCCATTAAGTTGCTATATCAAGTATATTAAATCCTCGACAATAGCTTTGTTTATAAGCTTTATGTCACTTACTTTAATAGAACATTTTTCATATACTTTTAGTAATACTTTTCCATATGTTTTTAATTTGTTACATGTTTTCAAAGAAAATTTTTATAAAGCAAGTTGCATACTGTGTTCCAGTTATGGTGAGCTTTTTCAAACAAATTTTTTACTTTTTTGCTAATCTAAATTTTTTTTTGACTAATATTCAAATTGTATATGTATTTAAAGCATTAAGTGTAAATACATTGACTGCCTAAGGTAGAATAAAATGTAGAATAAAAATAATAATAATTTGTTTTGTTTTGGGATGTAGTCACAATTATATTCTTGAAACCGGTATTGGAATTATTACACCATTAAACTAATGAATGACTAATAAGATTGTGATTTGCAGAAAATTTTTTAGCTTAGTTTACCCATTTTATTTTAGCTGGTACAAATGTTTATAATTATTACAATTTTATCTTAGCCTGGTACAAATGTTTATAATTATTACAATTTTTTAGTCGCTAAAATCGCGTGGTTATGTACGTGAAAATTTTGCTTGGAGGCATTATTATTGGTATCTTACTAATGAAGGAATTCAATATCTTCGTGATTACTTACATCTCCCACCTGAAATTGTTCCTGCTACTCTGAGAAAAAGTACTAAAGCTGCAGAATCTGTAAAACCATGGGCGAAAGGTATCTCCTTTTTTATGCAATAGTTGTTTCTTGTTTAATTTTAAATTTTATTAATTCAATAAATGTTACAGGAGGTGATCAACGTTCTTCTGGTCCTCGAGACACAGATAGAGAAAGTTATAGACGGGATGCTGGTGCAGCTGAAAAAGGCGGCGCAGGATCTGATTTTAAACCAGAATTTGTATGTTTTTTTATTATATTCATTTTATGTTATATTTTATTTAAAATTAATTTTTATATAAAAAATTATTTTATTTTAAACTTTTTCTTTTTTGTTAGCGTGCTGGATTTGGCATCGGTCGTGGGTTTGGTGCTCCACCGTCATAAACTCAATAAAATTAATAAAATTATTATTATTTTTTTTTTTGAACTGTCTATTCCTTAATTGATTTCGTCCTGTTAAAAGTTTTAAAAAAATTGCTTATTCTTATTTCCAAAGCAACATTTTACATATAGTCAATTTAAATGATTCATTTTATCGCTACATAGATTCTCTAGAAACTATTGCTTATCCAATAATAGTTATAGTGCAACATAATTAAGCTTTGTGTTAATTAGTTCGAATAAATTCTTTATATAATGAGACACTCAATAGCGACGAAACTAAAAAACGCGCGCTACAAGGCGACAGTTGTGTTGAGGTAACTACTCGTTGTCATACAAACGTTTCTGACTCAATTCAAAGGTTTTTGGTTGCGTTGCACATTTTAAATATTTTTCTTAGTCTTTAGATATTTAAAAAATAAAATAGATTTAACGTCTAAATATTTTTTTGTGATGCGCAGTGGGCCATGTTATAGACAAATGTAAAAAAAATGCTTTCTTAAAATTATATACCATTTCATAGCTTAAAGATTCAGCTTTCATAAAATGTATATAATGTATAATTATGCCGTATGCTTCTAAGCTGTAGAAAATTTTTTTCAATTTGAAAATGTTTTTTGTATTACTAATAAGCTTATAATAGTTGTTAGTTAAAACTTTTTTATTGCAATTAATAAAGTAAAGTGTTATCTTCTAAGGTGGTACAACACCAAATATTTTCTCAAAATCGTCATAAAAATGAAATTTTGGATATTTACCTCATTTGATAGGCAATTTATTTGTTAATTAATAATATAAAGTTGGTAAAATTTTTTTGATTTTGAAAAAAAGTAACTGAATAAAAAGTTCCGTAGCAACGCAAAACATCCCTAAACTGGATAATTTCTAGTTAGTTCTGTAATTAATAAGTCATAAGCTTAAATATGTTTTTATAGTGGTTTTGCATTACTTCTTTTTCAAAATAAATTGAAAGCAAAATCGCTTAATGTTGCTTAATTTTTAAGTATGACTGATTAATAAAATATTTGTTCTGAATAAAAGGCTCGAGTTCTGTTAACTTATTAGCCTTAAAATGGTCAGATCCTATGCTAGAAGAAAAAAAAGACATTACCAAGGCATTAATCGTTACGACAGAGAACAAAAAATTCAATGCCATAAGCACAGTTATACCACAAGAACCCAAATTCCTTTACAAACTTTCCTTTGCCAGTGCAAAAAAAATTATTGCAAGGAAAAATCCAGAACTTGTTTATAATGATTTCAACTTTATAATAAACTTAGAGTTACTTCATTTAATGATTCTCAAAGTTATGAAATGTCCAAGTTGCTTTTCTTCAATTTTCATACAAAATTGTCCTAATAAAAGAATGGGACTTTGTTTGACCTTGGAACTTTGCTGTACTTCCTATGATTGGTGTTCTTCATTTCAAACTTCCAGACCTATTTCAAATCTTTTTAATAATTCTGTAGGAAGAGATAGCTATGAAATAAATGTTATTTCTGTATTAGCATTTAGAGAAATGCTGGCGTAAATGGCAACGTGACCATATAAGTGGACATAAAACATATAAATCCAAGCTAAGCTTGCCATTAGCAATAAAAAGTATTCTTGTCCCTGTATTCAAAGACTTAAGCAATGAAGAACTACTTGAAAAGTGCCTACACGGTCTTACACAACAATAATGAAGCATTAAATGCTAAAATCTGGAAACGATGCCCCAAACATATTTTTGTAAAATAGAAGTATTATTGAAATGTAAGTAAATTGTTCTAAACTTAAACAATTTTACAAACGTATATTAAAACAAATAACTAAAAACCCCTAAAAAATCCACTTTAAAGCAAAGTAAATGTTAGATTTTATTTATATTTCGTACATGTCAATATACTAAGTATAACAAACCATGTAACTATATATTTATGTGTATCAAATACAGCTCTTTTCCGTTTTTTGTTTTTGATTATCTAGTAGCTTTTTATGTGTGACTCTTATGCCACCATGAGACTTTGACAAACTGAAATTTCTTAATAAATTAAGTGTACAAAATATCGCAACTAAAAGCGGTTTCTTGATGACAAGACCAAAATGGTCTTCTGCAAGTTTCCCGCGTCTTTTAACAGTGTTACTTTTTTATATATATTATTATTTGTATTAAAAAAAGTTTTTTTATTATATGTACGGTATTTTTTTTATACAATGTAAACGAACTAGTTTATATTTATGATCACGTATTTGTAAAGCTTTGATAAAAGACAAAAAAAAAAAAAAAAAAAAAAAAAAAAAAAAAAAAAAAAAATTCTGCAATTATTAATTTTAATGAAGGTACCCATGGAATTATTGATGTTTAAAAAATTTGCGAATACGTATTGGACATTTTACTCATATCTGATTGATTAACTGTGATAAATGCAGAATTAAAAAATGTCCAATCAAGTCTTCACTTCTGCAAAATCCCAACGACAGAAGTTGCCCCACCAAAAAAAAGGGTTTAATGATAGGGAAGCTCAGTTAGAACCATGCCAAGCTTATTCTTCTGCAGATTAACGGAGAGTTTAAGTGACCGTTAAGAAAAAAGTTGTTAACGGGCCGTTACGAAACGGATGGAGAAAAATAGTATTCTTGTCCTTCCGTTAAGTCACCGTTTATTAACCGCTCAGTTAACTTTGTCAGTTAAATTTCTTCCGTTAGCCCGCTTCGTTAGCTAACTTTCGTGCTATTTTTTACATAGCATCCAAATGTTACGATGCTAACTGGCACATAATATTGTTTAGATGGTACATCACAGCGTGATTTTTTTAAATGTTTGTGTGGGTAATTTTTTAAACTTAATTTAAACAAGTTAAAGTAATAAGCCGTTTTAGACTTGTACTAAGTTCTAATTTTTTATATTTTTAAATTAAACTTTTTATATTTTTAGAGTTAAAAAATATATAAACACCACCAAAAAAATTGAATTGGAGCTACATAAAACTATGAAATGGAGTTACTCTATACAACTCTCTCGCTCTATCACAAATTAACAACAAATACAAAATTGATAAACCATTTATTATTATAAAAAAGAAATTTGAAAATGAGTAAATTTATTTAGATAAAATATGTTAAAAAATGTCGCAAAGCAAAATCATCACGAAATTGGAAATTGTTTTCAGCTACTATATCTTCATTATCATTTTCATCATTTTCGATTGGATTTTCATCCATGTCTTCGTCATTTAACTTTTAGTTACATTTCAGAGGAGAAGTTAAAACTTAAGGAAGAAGTTTTAAAGTTACAAGCTGAAAGAGATTATTTCATTTCTAAAAAAGAGTTAGTCGACTTGGAAAAAAGAAATACATCTATAAAAGAAAAAATACTTATATTAAAGGAAAGCTATTTAAAAAAAAAAGAACGAAGAATGCTTAATTTTTATGTGATTTTATTTCAATTTATTGTTGATTATTTTGTAATTATTTTTATATAATAATATGAACTTATGAAATAAATTTTTATTTAACTTTTCTTTTGCTTAAGAATAAATTTTATGTCCATTTGTCTCTAATTCGGATTCTTTCCCAATTTTTATTTTCTTAGAATACTGATAAACTAATTTTTTTATTAAACTTGAAGATTAAAAAATTAAAACAAATAATAATGAATGTATATTCTCAGAAAATCATCGCAAATTAAAAAAACATGTTCTGTAAATTTATTTAATAAATGTAAATTTAAAGATACAAAAGTTGTTTAATAAGAAGAACCTAAGTTTTCAGTTTTTTTCTGTCGAACAATTGCTAAAATTATTATTATGGTTAACTGTTCTTCATGCTGTTTTGCTTTTGAGATTTTCAAATCAGCTACCATTAACAAATTATTTTTTTTTTAAACAATAACAAATCATAACGAAACAAATAAAAATTGTTTCTTTTGTGCTTATAAATTTCTAATGAACACGATTCTGCTCAAAATTTTATCTTTTCTGTTTCATTATCATTAAATGTTGTATATAACTTCATGTTCCAACATCTGCTTACATGGTTTCACATCACTTTCCAAAACTTCAATGTTTTATTTTGATGTTTAACTCATATCAACCTAAATCACTTATAATTTAGGTATAAAATGTTATATATATATATATATATATATATATATATATATATATATATATATATATATATATATATATATATATATATATATATATATATATATATTTATATATATATATATATATATATACATATATATATATATATATATACAAACTATGATAGTGTATTATATCTATATATTTATACGTTATATATATATATATATATATATATATATATATATATATATATATATATAATATAATATATATAAAATATATATATATATATATATAATATATTTATATTATATATATATACATATACATTTATATATATGTATGTATATATATATGTATATACATACATACAATATATATATATATATATATACACGGCCGGCGCGAGTAGGGGTCACGGGGGGATGCCATTACAACTTTTGCTCTCTTAAAAAAAAAAAAAAAAAAAGGTCAAATTTACCGACTGCCATAACGACATTTGCCGACTGACTTTACCGACCAACCTATCGACAGGGTCTACATTTGCCGACTAACTAGTCAAAAAGGGTCACATTTGCCGACTAAAGGTCAAATTTGCCGACTATAAGTCATTGATGGGGGGGGGGGGGGTGTTACCCCCCCCCACACACACACCCCTATCGCATATATACATACATATATATATATATATATATATATATATATATATATATATATATATATATATATATATATATATATATATATATATATATATATATATATATTGCATTTTATAGTACGTGCATTAAAAACAATATAAATAAAATGTAGCGATTTCAGTATTTCACGCGATAATACAGCAATGTTGTATACATGTTGTCAACATGTTCAGTATTTCACGCGATAATACAGCAATGTTGTATACATGTTGTCAACATGTATTTTAAAGTATAATGTCTAATTAAAATAC